AGATAGCCACACCACAATCTCTCCCCCCTCCCCATTCTCCTCTGGGGGTCTTGGGTACACATGCACAAATGCCCAGCATGTTTTAAGTTGCCGGGTCCAGAACTTGAACTGCGGTTGACTACATGCAAGTCCTGCAATGTAACCATTATAGCATCTGCTGGTCCCCAGATTTTTTAGTTTATTTTGTTTGTTTGTTTGTTTTCTGTAGGGCGTGTGTGCTCATCCGAGAGACAGAGAGACAGAAGGTAAGAAATCACCCCCCAAGGGAGATGGCCATGCTGCAATCCCTTTTCCTTCATTCTCATCTTGAGATCTTGGGCATGCACGCACACATGCCTGGCATGAGTTTAAGCCACTGGGTCTGGGTTCAAACTGCACGATTACATGGGAGTCCTGTGACATAGCCATTGAGCCAACTGCTGGTCCCCACCCAGCATGAGTTTTAAGCCGCTGGGTCCAGCACTCAAACTACAGTCAACCATGTGAGAGTCCAGCACCTTAACCACTACAGCACCTACTGCCTCCTAGATGGATTATTTTAACAAATTGTGTTAATATAACTAGAAATTCAGTTGGAAGAAAATAACAATAAACCTTTATTTAATATGGCATTTAAAATTTAAGTTCTAGATTACTCATTTACACAATGAATAAGAAAACAATAAATAACTTGTAAGAAAATCTTAAGAAATTATATGTACAATGTATGGTAAAAAGATTTTAACCACTCCATAAACTTGAAAAAAAATTAAGACATATTTGGTTACATAGAAATTTAAGACAAAAAGTTAAATTCCTAATGTCTAACACATGAAGTCTTCAAAATAGGAAAATGGTTTAACAATATAAAAATCCACAAAGCAGCAAATCTAAGAACAAATGAGGTTTATACCCATCCAACGTAAATTTAAGTAGTATAGTAGTACTATCTATTGTAGGACTAGAAGATACGTTCTTTTTGAAAATTACTCAGGACTCAGTTTTTAAAATGACAAAAATCATTTGACCTAGCAATTTCTTCCTTGTAATATATCATAGAAATAAAAATACCTGAAATGTAAGGGCCGATTATATGAGTATTTATTGTATTATTGTTTATGGTACCAAATGAGCAACATGTCAATAGGGGGATGGCTGAATAAATTTACAGTACAGAATATCACAGAATGCATTGTTGCAATTGCCCATTTACTCTATCTGACCATCACAATCATTCTTGTTGCTCTTTCTAGGCCCCTGGCCAAGTGAAGGCACCAAAAGGTAGTACTCCTAGTTTGGTTTGCGTTAGAGATCCTAGTTGCTCTAGTGACTTCAAAATTGCACAAGCACATTGGTAGGCCATTTAATAAATAAGAAAAAATGTTTAAGTAAAGCAAAATGAGAAATGAGAAAAGAGGCTAATTTAGATTCATGTAGATATATGGTCACACATGGCTTAACAATGGAGACACATTCCAAAAAATGTGTCATTAAATGATGTTATCCTTGTGTGAACATTCTAGAGTGCATTTACACAAGCCTAGATAGTGTAGCCCACTATACATCTAGGGTATATATAGTACAGCCTATTGCTTCTAGTCTACAAACATATACAGCGTGTTACTGTACTGAATACCATAGGCAATTGTAACACAATGGTAAGTATTTGTGTATCCAAGCAGGGTAAGAAACAATACAATAAAAAGATGAAAAATGGCATACCTGTAACCTGTATAGGGCGCTTACCATGAATAGAGGATGCAGGACTGGAAGTTGCTCTGGATAAATTAATGAATGAATGGTGGAAGGCCTAGGACATTATATTCTTGTGTACTTAAAAAACACTGTACATAATTTATAATAATAAATTAGCCTTAGCCTACTGTAACTTTACCTTACAAACTTATTTTAAATTTTGAACTTTTTTTTCTTAATATGCATCTTCCATGAACTTTTTTTTCCTTTTATTATTTTGTTCATTTCATTTTCTTCCATACAATCAATCACATTATTATTTGTCTTACAAAATGGATATTTAAACAGGTGAATATTTAAATTTTGGACTCTTATAACGACCTATAATACACACTGTACAGCTGTACAAAAATATTCTCTATGTCTTTGTACGTTTTCTTCCATCTTTAAAATAATTTTTTTAAACTTTTTTTTTTGAGAGGTTTTTCACTATAGGGCATGTGCGCTCGCCAGACAGACAGAGAGAGACATAGAAACAGAAAGCGAGAAATCACCCCCCAGGGGGGGTGGTCACTCCGCAATCCCTTCTCCTCCATTCTCCTCTCAGGATCTTGGGCACGCACGCACACGCACCTGGTTTGAGTTTTAAGCCACCGGGTCCGGGACATGAACCGCGGTCAACTACGTGGGAGTCCAGTGACATAACCATTACGCTAACTGCTGGTTCCCAATTTTTTTAAACTTTTACAATTTTTTTTTGTTGCTGTTAAAAGCCAAGACACAAACACACATTAGCTACGCCTCTAAAAGGTTAGGATCATCAGTAGCCCTGTCTTCCTCCTCCATATTTTGTCCCACTGGAAGGACCATAATGAACAAATCACGATTGACTTAAACACAAGCGAAAATAATGCAATGAAGAGACATGGTACTCCAAATGTATGGAGTTGCTATTGGCATAACATACCATACTATTTTACAGTCAATTCTTTTGAATAAGTAGTAGTACATTCTAAAATGATAAAAGTAAACAAACTAGTAAGTTATTATAAAATATTACGTATTACATATAACTGCAAATGTTATACCTTTATAGGACTGGCAGTGCAGGTTTGTTTACACCAACATTACTGCAAACACAGTGCACTACAAATTTACAACAGCTAAGACATCACTAGAAATAGGAATTTTTTAGTCATGTATACGACTACTATCATATACATGACTGTCGTTAACCATAACATAGTTATGTGGTACAGGTTGTATATGTATGTTATCTGGGTATATTCCCTCAAAAAGCCACCCTCTGACATTTTCAAACTATTCTCAAGACCAGCCTTCAAAAATGCTATAACAAGCTGTGCAAAGCTATAGTTACACTAGTTATTTTGTTGTTTGAAAGAAATTAGTTTATGGGGCACAGAGGTGGCATGGTGGTTAAGGCAGCTGGACTACTACATGGCCTACCACAGTTCCAGTCACAGGCCCAGTGGCTTGAAATTCACACTGTGTTTGTATGCATGCACACCCAAAATCCTAGAGGAGAATGAACAGATTGAAGTTGTGGCCATCCCCCACCAGAGGATGATTTCTCACTTTCTCTTTTTCTCTTCTGCAAGTACAAACCAACCAATGGCAAAAAAACATAAAAATTTTTTTTTAATTAAGAAATTTATTTGAAGTCAGTCTAAGGCTTAAATGCTGTATACTTCTCATTTTTACCACTGTTCAAAAATAGCATTAATAGCGCTCTATGTATCAGTTATTGTGGAAAGGGAGAAGTGAACAAAAATCCTCACAAAGACTTGTTTAAATAAGAGCACACTGTTTCAGTCTCAGATCTCTTTTCAGCATCATTTTCACCAGGCAAAAGACAATGGGGTAAAGATTGAGTGGATGTATCTGGCAGAACAGGGGCAAATATTAGTCTGCAAGTAAAACTGAAACTGACATCTCAGAGTTGATGTTTTATTTAGTGGTTTATGAAAAAATTAAAAGGGACATGGACTCATTTAAAAAATGTCTACTTTCTAATGTCAATAGTGGTTATGTAGAGTACTAACATTTCCATGAAATGCTTGAGTTAAAAACAAATTCTCTCCAAGTCTGTGCATGTATTATTTAATGATTTGATCCTTAAGTGTATGTGATTCAACCAACCTGTTGCAAAATCATGCTATAACTTCTAAAACTATGTACAAATTAGTGATATACCATTACTAAATTTAAATAATTGCAATTAAGATGCAACTCTAATGAAAAATGTCAAAATTTATAGTAAAGGTGACTTTAAAAATATTTTTCTATAAAATATTACCATCTAACAGGGAATGTAAGTCCATTATAAAATATATTTATATACAGCTTCCTCATACCTATATCTACATTTTTAACTTTCAGAAGTTTAAGAAATTAAATAGCACAAACAAAAGAATGAGCACATATATTACCACAACCCAGGATTAATCATTTTGTTACACTACATGGAATATTTCTTTTTAATGAGAAATACATACTTAAGATAGAAAACTAAATATCCTTTAATTAACCATGCTTGGTCACATTTCTGTTCCACCTCCTTGTAGAGGCAATATTTTTGGGAATCGAATGTGTACTCCTCCAACTCATTCTTTATAGTTTTATAAACCAGTGTTTATCCACAACCAATGCTTAGTAGTAGGCTTGCTTAGTGTTTTATGTAAATTCACACAGGTATTACACTATATTCATCACTTCATTTTTCTTCTCTACACAATCTTCCATATCTTCCTGTTAATACATATAATTTGTTTCACTTACTACTAGAATATTCTACTATGTGCCTATATCACATTTTACTCACCTATTTCACAAGTGACTGACATTTGTTTCCAGTTTTTAGCTACTATAACTCATGCTGCAGTGAACAGACTGGTACGTGATTCTCCATGTACATGAGTCAGTTTCTTAGGTATATGTATACATACTCAAGAGAACTTCTAGGTATTCTGGAATCTATTTTAGAAATTCTTTCCAAGTCTAAAGGTTTTAAAAACATTCTACTATAAAATCTATCACTAAGTTTTGCTTTTTGCATTCTAGTCTTCAATACTTTTGGAATTCAAAGATGTATTTTAGGGGACCAGCAGGTGGCATAGTAGTTAAGGCGCTGGACTCCTTCGTGGTCAACCATGGTTTAAGTCCCAGACCCAACAGCTTGAAGCTCACACCGGGCATGTGTGAGTGTGTATCCAAAATCCTGAGAGAAGGGATTATGGCATGGCCATCCCCCCTCCCCACCTTGAGGGTGACTTTCTGTTTCTCTCCTTGGTGAGTGGATACACCCTATAGGAAAAATCTCTTTTTAAAAAAGAAGCATTTTAATATATGATGATGGCAGAAATCTATTATTTTTTCATATGGAGAGTCAATTGCCCTGAGACCATCTTTTAAAATCATCCATTATTTCTCTACCCACTTGGGATACCACCTTTATCAATGGTCAATTCCCCATGAATTTGTGCATGTTTCTGCATTCAGTATTCTGTCCCAGTCTATTTTCTGACTGCATCAACAGCAAATATCTTTGATGACTACAGTTTTACAAATGATATATGTAGTAAGTATAAAACAAAACAAAATTCTGTTTTTTAATTTCAAATCCCTATAACCTCTTTTCTTAATGCATCTCATGGGCCTTATAGGAATATATTGATTAAGCTTCATTACTGGGCCCTAACTTCAAAGAGAATACTCCTTAACATACAGCATTAATAATATTTGTTGTGGGAGTTTGGGAAGTACTTTCAATATATTGATACTTCTTATTAAACGTCATGGCATTTCAAGTTTTGAGTTGCTGTTGGAGGAGTTCCCACATTAATGTCACTTTAGTGTAAAAAGAATGTTCTAATATGTCACTAAGTATGTAAACTCAAAGTATTCATAGAGTTCAGTGAGTATGAATTCTCTGGTGTCTAATGTGATGTGACTTCTGGCTGAAAGCTTTCCCACATTCACTACACTGATACGGTTTTTCACCAGTATGGATTCTCATATGTAGAGCTAGAGTTGAGAACTGAGAAAAGGCTTTCCCACATTCATTACAACCATAAGGTTTCTCACCTGTATGACTTCTCATATGCACAGTAAGAGATGAGCTTTGACAGAAGGCTTTCCCACATATTTTACATTCATAAGGTTTATCACCTGTATGAATTCTTACATGTACAATAAGTGATGTGATTCGAGAAAAGGCTTTCCCACATTTATTACATTCATAGGGTTTCTCTCCTGTATGAATATTATGGTGTTTAATGAGATATTGCTTCTGCCTGAAGATTGTTCCACATTCATTACATTTATAGGGTTTCTCTCCAATGTGAATTTTCTCATGCTCAGTGAGGTTTGATTTGCCACTGAAGGCTTTCCCACATTCCTTGCATGTATAGGGTTTCTCTCCGGTATGACTTCTCTGGTGTCTAATGAGGCTTGACTTTTGAATGAAAGCTTTCCCACACCCTTTACATTCATAAGGTTTCTCTCCAGTATGGATTCGCTGGTGGATAATAAGGTTTTCCTTTTGGCTAAAGGCTTTTCCACACTCATTACATTTAAAGGGTTTTTTCCCACTATGGATATTTTGATGTTTAATGAGGTATTGCTTCTGGCTAAAAGCTCTTCCACATTGATTACATTCAAAAGGTTTCTCTCCAGTATGAATTTTCTCATGTTCAGTGAGATATGACTTGCCATTAAAGGCTTTCCCACATTCTTTACATGCATAAGGTTTGTTTCCTGTATGATTTCTCTGATGTCTGATGAGGGTTGATACCTGAACAGAAGCTTTCCCACATTCATAAGATTTCTCTCCAATGTGATGTTTCTGATGAGAAAGTAAGTTTCCCTTCTGGCTGAAGGCTTTTCCACATTTATTACATTTATATGATTTCTTCCGTGTATGACTTCTCAAATGTAGAGTAAGGGATGAGACTCGAGAGAACACTTTACCACATTCAGTACATTTATGTAATTTCTCTCCTGTATGCATTTTCTTATGCTCCATAAGGATCTGCTTCAGACTGAAGGTTTTTCTACATTCATTACTTTTATAAGGTTTTTCTCAGTATGAATGCAATCATGCTGAAATAGATCTGATTCAGGCTGGAGGCTTTCCAACATTCTTATCATACACAAGGATTTCTCTCTGAGATTTTACTAGTATATACTAAGATGTAACAAGGATGAACATTTTTCCATATTCACTAAATTCTTATGGTTTCTTTTCAACATTAATTCTCAGGTGCATAATGAAGTTGAATTTATGATGGACATTTTCTTACACCAATTACCTGAGATGATGAGATGATTACAAAAAGAGATGAAATATAGCATTTGATTTATATTCATAATGGTTATTTCTTACACAGCTTCTCTCATATTTAGGCAAAAGTTATGTAGAAGCATAAATTATATTTAAAAAATTTTTAAACTGAGTCCCATACACAGAAGTGAAGAATTGATGTCTCTGCTCAGAGAAAAAGACTTTGTTGCCTAGGTTTTCTGAGTTTATATTTTCACACAAGTCTTTCAAGTTGCACCTTTATCAGTTTATAAGCTTCCCAGGCATCTGAAAGAAAGTACAATAAAAAATATTGGAAAATAACTAATAAGTATAAAATATTGGTGCATGCCATGTAAGCACTCAGTAAATTAGCTTGCCATTATCATCAGTGTCAACAACACTAATACCTGTGAATTTTCTCATTATTCATAAAACTTTATTTATTTATTCATTCATTTATTTATTTATTTCCTAGAGGGGAGTGTGCTTGCTGGAGAGAGAGAGAGTGACAGAGAAAATGAGAATTCACAACCCAGTGCAGATGGCCATGCTGCAATCCCTTCTCCTCCATGTATGTTCCTGAAACTCCCTTAAAAAGACAGTGGGGGCCATCAGGTAGTGTGGTGGTTAAGGTGGCTGGACTCCCACATGGCTGACCACAGTTTGAGACCTGGACCTGGCAGCTTGCTTTCTCACTTTACTTCTCTCCCATTGTCTCTCTCTGGTCAACGTCAAAATAATAAAATATAAAATAATGACAATGAGTAAAATTAAACAGAAAATAATTATTAAGAAAAAGACAACAAAAGGATAAAGGGAAGCATATTCTCATAAAACTCAAAAGGTAGAGGCAATATCAGCAGACACAAAGTATTAGGAATTTTGGAAGAAAAATAAACAGAGGACAAATAATAGACCAAAAGTGGCTTAAATAAAAACCCAATAGATAAGGATGTAGTATGGAAACAAGGTACTTTATGACACAGATATCAACAGAAAGGCTTTTTAACTATATAGAGAGACTGGGCAGGAGTGAGAGGAATGTGAATGTCCATGCATGCCCAAGATCCCAAGAGAATGAAGGGAAAGGGATTGCAGCATGATCATCCCCAGTGGGAGGTGATTTCTTAATTTCTGACTCTCTGGCAAGTACATGAATGCCACAGCAAAAAATCTCTCTTAAAAAATGTTCATAGTGGGGGACCAGCAGTTAGCGTAATGGCTATGTTGCTGGACTCCCACGTAGTTGACCGCGGTTCGAGTCCCGGACTGGGTGGCTTAAAACTCATGCCGGGTGCGTATGTGTGCGTCCCCAAGATCCCGAGAGAATGGAGGAGAAGGGATTGCGTGCGTGGCCATCTCCCCTGGGGGGTGATTTCTTGCTTTCTGTCTTTCTGTCTCTATCTGTCTGGAAAGCACATGTGCCCTCTTCGATTTGACGGGAAAGCACATGTGCCCAAAAAAAAAAAAAAAAAAAAAAAAAAACTCTCCAAAAAAAAAAATGTTCATATGTTCATAGTGAGAAGACGATTCCTCATGGTTCCTGAAAACTAGTGATTTCAGGGTAAAAGAGAAATGAAGATTTCCTACTGATAATTCAGCCTCCAGCCCACAAACCTGAATGGCAAGAGAGACAAGAGGCAGGTATTGAGACAAAGATTCCTCATGGTTCCTGAGAACTAGTGATTTCGGCGCATCTCTCCACTCTTCATTTCCATTTACTGTGTTTCTAGATGGATCTAATGGAACTTTAGCCAAACATCCAAATATTATTAGGATTAACATATTCCTCAATATCTACTGAATCTGCTGCATAAAGGGATCACAATGGAACAACAAAGAGATTCCAGATCACCTCTTTCTGCACGCTCCTGAACGCTCAGATTGAACTTCAAGAAATAGGAAGAAGCCCACCATCCATCAGATGACTGGAAATCACCGCAGGACCACAAGAAATGTGGGAAAGCAAGAAAATACCTCTTTTCCAGGGAAAAGAATAACTCCTTTCATCCACAGTTCAATGAAAATCATGGAAATGCCGGATAAAGAATTTAGAATATTCATAATGGCGAAACTAACAGAGGTGGAAGAGAGAAAAGAGACAATGAACTGCAGAAGAGAAAGGAAAAAGGAGAGGACAAGTTCCAGGAGGTGAGGAAATTCTTGCAAGATCTAAAAGAGGAATTACATACTTTACAAAAGAATCAAAGGAACCTATTAGAGATGAAGGCTATAATACAGGAAGTCAAAATCTCTCTTGAAAGCATTAAAAGCAGATTAGATCATACAGAAAATTGAATCTCAGACATAGAAAATGGCTGACCTAGAAAAATCAACCACGAAGACTGACAAAATGGCTCAAAAAATGAGAATAAACTATGAGAAATACTAGATACCATCAAACATTCAAACATCCGTATAATTGGTAACCCAGAAGGTAAAGAGACTCATAGGGGCATTGATAGTCTATTCCATGAAATCATTCAAGAAAACTTTCCAAACCTAGACCTTCAAGAAAACTTTCCAAACCTAGAGAGGCACTCAAAGATCCAGTCCCACGAAATACAAAGGACCCTAAATAGAATCAACCCAAAAAGATCTTCTCCAAGACATATTATAGCCAAACTGATCAAAACCACAGACAAAGACAAGATACTAAGACTGGCAAGAGAAAAATATCAAGTTACCTACAAAGGATACCCCATCAGGATAACCACAGACCTCTCATCGGAAACGATGCGAGCGAGGAAAGAATGGGAAAATATATTCAAAGTGTTAAAATAGCCTTCCGCCCTAGTAGTCACTGGAGAGCTGCAGCCATGGCTCTGCAGCACCTCATGGCCGTGGGCCTCAAGAGGGGCTAAAAAGTGACCAAGAACGTGAGCAAGCCCAGGCACAGCCCCCGCCGTGGGCGCCTCACCAAGCACACCAAGTTCATGCGTGACATGATCCGGAAGGTGTGCAGCTTCGCCCCCTAAGAGCGGGGCGCCATGGAGCTGCTCAAGGTGTCCCAAGGACAAGCACGTGCTCAAGTTCATCAAGCAGCGGGTGGGCATGCACATCAACGTCAAGAGGAAGTGCAAGGAGCTGAGCAACGTGCTGGCCGCCATGCGGAAAGTGGCTGCCAAGGACTGAGCCCACCGTGCCAATAAAGCCCACTCAGCCCCTGAAAAAAAATCATAAAAAATTAAAAAAAGACCAAAGTGTTAAAATAAAAGCAATTTCAACCAAGATTACTGTACCCAGAAAGATTACCCTTCATGTGGGAAGAAAAGACAAGAACATTCTCAGATAAAGAAAACCTGAAAGAATTTACTAGCATCAGACCAGATTTCCAAGAAGTTCTCAAGGGAGTGCTATGTCAGGAAAATTAAATGCAGACAGACAGAAATAAGAGTTCAAAAACTAAGAAAATAGCCAACTTAATCATAGGGACAAGTCTGGAGTTGAACATTATATCCCAGAATTGAATTGGGAAAATCGAACTACAACAGAAGATAAAGTACATCAAACTGAATTGGTGAAATAGAATTTTATGACTTTTTGACTAAAACACTTCTGATTTTCTTGTAGACTTTGTTGTTCGGTTTTAAGGATTTGTGTCCTGTCTTGAAGTGTCGATAGGTTCATGTACCTATCTTTTGAACAGAATCTTAACCTGTTTCCTGGCTTTAAGTTTTAAGCAATGTTCCTTAGGATTTCTTTAAATTAAAACTGCTTTCTTGAAATTACCAGCTGACCTTGTTATTGAAAGTAGATTATTTAAGAAATTGTGTGATCAATACAATGTGGGGGAAAAAGAATGGAAGACTAATGTAGACATCAGAGGTAGTGTGACAAGAGAGTGGGAAAGGACAGAGGGTCAGAAATAGGAGTAAAAGGGACCAGCAGATAGCATAATGGCTATGTCGCTGGACTCCAATGTAGCCGACCATGGTTCACATCCAGGACCCGGTGGCTTAAAACTCATGCCAGGCGTGTGTGCATGCATGCCCAAGATCCCAAGAGGAGAATGGAAGAGAAGGGATTGCAGCATGGCCATCCCCCCTGGGGGGTGATTTCTCGCTTTCTATCTCTCTGTTTCTCTGTCTGGTGAGGGCACGCGCCCTATAGCAAAAACAATGACAACAACAACAACAAAAACCTTTTCAAAAAAAAAAAAAAAAGGAAATAGGGGTAAAAAAAATATATATATTTAACTAGAAATGGAAAATTTTTGACGATAACATGCATGATTAAGCCACTATGCAGTATATTCTGGATGGGAAATCACATTTTGTATGCTGTGACGATGCTTAGGGAATGAATGTAATTTAGTTTAAAACAAAAGTTTCAGGGAAAAAAAACCCCTAAAACTGTTTTTCTTTTAATTAAAAAAAAAACATTAAAAATACCTATTTGATGACTACAGTAAGCTATATAGCCCTAGCTAGGTGCTACTTTTATAGTATGTTCATTCTACTCACTGAGGTTTATGCCTGAAGTTAGACTTGTGTTCATGCATATGTATATATCAGCTGTGCTTGCTACTGAAAGTATTTAGATTAGAAAGGAGGTTGCCTGTCTGGTCTTAAGGCAGTAGCTTGAGCTCCTCACCTCCTCCGCAGGCATCCAGGAATCCTTGCAACTCCGCCAGCTTGTCTCAGGCTGAGTTTGAGAAAGCCGCTGAGGAGGTTAAGCACTTCAAGACCAAACCAGGGGACAGTGAGATGCTGTTTATCTAAGCCACTACAAGCTAGCAACTGTGGGTGACATTAACACAGAGTGACCAGGGATGTTGGACCTCAAAGGCAAGGCCAAGTGGGATGCCTGGAATGAGCTGAAAGGGACGTCCTTGGATGCCATGAAAGCTTACATTGACAAAGTATAAGAGCTCAAGAAAAAATATGGAATACAAGAGACTGGATTGGCTGCCAGCCACACATTGAACCTAAACTGATGTATAATGCCTTGTTTTTCTAATACTGTGGATGATGTACAATAGTGAAAATAACCCTTTCCTAAGGGCTGTTTGGGTTCTGGGTCTCGCAGATTAGAGGCTGAGACAATTACTGGCTTTCCCTGAATAGTTTTTACCAGAGATCAATTAAAATTACATTTGTTACTTAAAAAAAAAAAAGTATTTAGATTAAGATATTTAGTGAAACAATAAAATGGGGTGGGGGAGATATAGAAAGAAACAATGGTTACCAGACGCAGTGTGGGAGGAGGGTGGGAGATGGGAGAGGGTGAGAGATAGGGAATCAAGGATGGGAAAAAAGGCAAAATATACAGGAAACAAGAAA